ATATATATATATATATATATATATATATGTATATATATATTATTTAAAGCCCAAGGGCTAATTTTATTGATATTGAAAAGATACATAGATTGTATGAGAAGACCCAAAAAAAGATGTCATACCCATACGATACATCAGATACTAGCATCCTAAAAGGATGAAACAAAGATAAAACACAAAAAAACAAAGCTTGCAGGAAATAAGCTGTTAGGCATGAGCCAATTTGGTCTTGCCTCTGCCTCTGGTACTAAGACCAGAGACAGCTAACAAATTGCTGAGTGTCGTTCCATTACCCGAAGTTACTAGGGTATCATCCATTAAGTTTTCAAGCTGAGGTGTGTCTCTATTTTTCTTTTTCTTTCTAGATGTGTAAACTTGTCATTCCTCATCCGAGGACGTAGAGAGAGTATTGTCTCCGATAGTAGGAGCTGAAGGTGGCATCGTGTCAACCGGTATTTCAATAGTTTGTGGAATGCACTCAGGAGCGAAGGAGGGACAGGTATGAGGTGGGGCAGATCCAGAAGCGTTTTTACTTGAAGGTTTTAAATTTGGATGCAACTGATAACCCATCTGCCAATATATCAGTCGGAAGAACAGAGAGAGTATTGTCTCCGATAGTAGGAGCTGGAGGTGGCATCGTGTCAACCGGTATTTCAATAGTTTGTGGAATGCACTCAGGAGCGAAAGAGGGACAGGTATGAGGTGAGGCATATCCAGAAGCGTTTTTACTTGAAGGTTTTAAATTTGGATGCAACTGATAACATTGAGAATGAGAATGTCCAAACATACAGAAGTGAGTACAATAAAGTGGTATTTGTTCAAGTTCTGCTTGCTGCTAAAATCCTTGATATTGTGTGTCAATCCATATTTCTCCCGGAAAAGGTAAAGTAATATCCCTTTCTATCAAAATTCTGGCTTCTGAAGGTCGAGTTAGATTCACTGTATGCGTGTCAGTTTTGATCATTTTAACACCTCCATCACACGAGTTTCAATTCGAAGAAGTCTTCTCGCAAACAAATGAGTATAGTCTTCATCATTTGATAATTGAATGAGAATGTGGCGACCATCCAATTTACCAATCTTCCAACCCCCTTTCGGCTTCATTTCCTCAAAGTTCTTTCGAATTAGTTCAAGTTTGGGGCTTCCATAAAGAAACTTACCTACTAAGAACAGTCGGCAGGGCGCAGCTAGGGTTGAGATCTCTGCCTCAGTGAGAAAGATTGCAGGTTTTCCGTTTTTACGGAAAGGTTTTTTGAGAAATCTGGTTTCAATGCCAAGTACAAAATTGTCATGGTATATATATATATATATATATATATATATTGAAATAATCCCTTCGTTCTTGCTCTACTAGGGTTTCGCCTCATGGTGAACCCTAGCCTCTGCTACGTCATTTTTCGCTTTTCTGTTTTTGAAATGCTTCGTCGAGCTACTCCCGATTGCGGTTCGACAAGCTTCGTCTTCTCTTTCGCAAGCTTCGACGACGTTGATTTCGCACTCGTAGACGACGAAGGACGTCCTCTGCTTCCGTCGTCTACTTCTGCGTGCCGCTTTGCTCTTTCTGCTTCCTGTCGTCTTCGCTCCGCTCGTGCGGGTCTGACAATCAAGTTGCGATAGTAGGCAACAGTTTCCTCTTCTGCGCAGCTTTGCTCCACACGAACTGAACGAACTGATAGCTTCAAAAATTTCCTCTTCAGCGCCAACAGCTTCCTCCCTTACTTGTGAGGGAGATGACCTCGACGCTTCGTTCCTATGCAAATGCCCTTGCCGGCGACTTGCCTATTCCTGCTCGTGCCCCTCCTGGTTCAGTGTCTGCTTTTGTTATTGGTAAGTCATGCAATGTTCCGCAATCGTACCACGAGGCTATCGAAGGTGGCGGTGATCACACTTTTATTAAAAAACTTAGAAAAAAAAATGGAAAGCCTGCACTTATTCTCACTGAGGTTGAAACTGGTACTCTAGCGTCCTGTTGGCATTTTGCTCTAGTGGGAAAATTTTTTTATGGTCTTCCAAAACTGGAGATCATTAGAAAAGAATTTGATGCTATGAAACTATTGGGCAGTTGGAACACTGGTCTGCTAGATGGTCGACATATACTTATTCAGTTATCTCACAATGTCGATTACACTCGCATTTTCTCTCGAAAAATTATCAAGATCAACAATCATTTTATGAAAATTCTGAAGTGAATTGTCGATTTTAATCTAAAAGCGGAGTCCCCTGTCATTTCAGTTTGGATAAAGTTTCCAGGGTTAAAATTACATCTGTTCAACATGGAAATCTTCTACTCTTTAACAGCTGCTTACGGTAAGTCACTTGTGGTGGATAGTTCTACGCTTGCTGTCACCAGACCCTCTGTGGTTTCTGTGTTAGTTGATAGAGATATCACTCAACCAGATCCGGATGAGATATGGATTGACACTATTCACAACGGGTATGGGCAAAAGGTTGAGATAAAACCACATCCTCCTTATTGCTCCCATTATAGTATGTTTGGCCACAGTCCTACTATTTGTTATCGCTTGCATCCTCATCTAAGGCCGAATGTCGCTAAAAATTAATCACCTACCATCATTGCTGAGAAAGTCCAATCCGATCCTCTTTCCAACATCGCAGTTCCAGATGAAGAACACCTTACTACAAGTACCGATCCAAGAGTGTTGATACTACTTACTGTTATTGAAGAAAAAATCCTTCGACCCGATAGAAGATCAGCTGGTACAACAAGTAGTTACCTCTAATGTTCAACAACTTACACATATTCTGCACACTTCAGACAATTCTGCTGATCAGGCGTGTCAATCTTCGGATGAGGAATAACAGGTCTATACGAGGAAGAAAAAGAACGGAGGACGACTCGAACTAGGAAATCTATTGGATGATACATTGGTTACTACTGTTAATGACACTCATCTGACCAATTTATTAGCTGGCTCCTTCCCTAGAGTTAGAGGTAGAGGCAAGGCAAAATCGAGTCGCTCTCCAGCTGCCTGATACTCTAATTTTGACACTTTTTAGTTTTTTATTTAGATCTCTTATGTATTTTGTTGTATTTCTCTTGTTTGGAACCATTTGATTTGATGGTTTTTGTGTAGGCTGGGTGCTATGTTTGGGACCTTCCACAAAATTTAATATATATATATACATATATTCATCTGTGAGTGCATAAGTGTGATTCAACTTATTTAATTTTATACATATGAAACTTCGACAAAATAGTATTTTTATTTGTACCCATTGCACATGTAAAAATAGTTTATATATATATTTTTAATACATACAAGCTTTTGAAAGAATTCTGACGAATATTATATCACCATTCGATAGAAGTTTTTAAAATTTTTAATTTATTTTTAAATTAAGTTAATTATTTCTCTAAATTTATCGGCCCTACTAAATTTATCGGCAGACTTGGCCATCACAAAAATAACAAATATATTTTCGATAGTTTAGTTGCCTTTTATGGTTAATTTAAAGTGGAACGTTACCGCACTAGCAAACTTTGCAAGGACTTCTCTCTGGCATGTTCTACAAAATATTCGTTGAAAATCTGCTAGAATAGTTTAAGACGGATATTTTTTATGTCGGAATACATTTCCAGCCACGACTTTTATGGTGTCGAAATCCATCTAAAATCGACTAATAACAAAGTTTTCAGACAAACTCAACAATTTCAAACGAATGTTTTCAACAGAAATTTTAGGATTTCTTGTAATTTGACCACATGAAGTATTTTGAGTCTATAGTTTGTTTGTTGAGAATAAACAATACATTGAAGTGTCATTTTTTTTTACAAAGTTAAAAGAACAATTCCTTCGGTTGTTGAAAAGATTACCAATGGGGATTATTACTTCTTTTGTTAAGTTCAAACATATGTTTATTGCGCAATATATAAGTGCTCAAAAACCTCAAATAAGTTTACAAGCTTTGTTGTGAATTCGTTAAGAGTTGGGGAAATCTCTTCAGAGTTTTGTAACTCATATAGAGGAAAATGTTGGAAGTGAGAGATCTGGAGTAAGCGTTCACTCATATTATATTAGCTAAATCTACACGAAAGCCCATTTTGCTATGCTCTTCGGTTGCAACATCTGAAGACTAAGCCAAATTGTTGGAGCAAGCCAATAATTATATTTTCTAAATTTATCGGCAAACTTGGTCATCACAAAAATAACAAATATATTTTCGATAGTTTAGTTGCCTTTTATGGTTAATTTAAAGTGGAACGTTACCGCACTAGCAAACTTTGCAAGGACTTCTCTCTGGCATGTTCTACAAAATATTCGTTGAAAATCTGCTAGAATAGTTTAAGACGGATATTTTTTATGTCGGAATACATTTCCAGCCACGACTTTTATGGTGTCGAAATCCATCTAAAATCGACTAATAACAAAGTTTTCAGACAAACTCAACAATTTCAAACGAATGTTTTCAACAGAAATTTTAGGATTTCTTGTAATTTGACCACATGAAGTATTTTGAGTCTATAGTTTGTTTGTTGAGAATAAACAATACATTGAAGTGTCATTTTTTTTTACAAAGTTAAAAGAACAATTCCTTCGGTTGTTGAAAAGATTACCAATGGGGATTATTACTTCTTTTGTTAAGTTCAAACATATGTTTATTGCGCAATATATAAGTGCTCAAAAACCTCAAATAAGTTTACAAGCTTTGTTGTGAATTCGTTATGAGTTGGGGAAATCTCTTTAGAGTTTTGTAACTCATATAGAGGAAAATGTTGAAAGTGAGAGATCTGGAGTAAGCGTTCACTCGTATTGTATTAGCTAAATCTACACGAAAGCCCATTTTGTTATGCTCTTCGGTTGCAACATCTGAAGACCAAGCCAAATTGTTGGAGCAAGCCAATAATTATATTTTGGCAAAAGAGTGGAATTTGTTGTCGAGCTTATCTGGAGTGAAGAATAGAAGCAACATATCAGCCGAGAAGAAATTTTCATAAACTCCATCAAGAGAATAATAAACACCTTGTTGAAAAGGGAGTGAAAAGAAGTTTTGAGAAGAATCAAGCTCATCCTTTTGAAGAGCAATTTCATTTTGAAGGTAGGCGGGTAGATTAAAAGATAGGAGATATACCTTCAATTTTGTCATGACACAGTCAAAGGCTTAGAATTTACTAGGACATGAAAAGACCGCCTAACGATGTAAATTAAATTTTCTATATTCAGTTACTATTTAACATATGAAAAAACTACCACTCGAAATAAATTAAAACAATATATTTAAATTTAAAATCATTATCAGTTGTCTGCATCTTTTATAAATAGTATTTCCTCTAACGCTCATTCGTTAATGACTTAATTAAATCTAAAAAAAATAATTTAAAACAACACAAAGTTAAACAATATCAATACATACTCATACTTAAAAACCACAATAATATAAGAAAAAAAGAAGCAATATGTATACCAGTCAAGCATTAATAAATCAATTAAAAAATTTGACGTTATTCAAACAATTACACAATTTCAATAACATATCAATATCATTATGTATCTGTACAACCGTCACAGGACCACCGTCTAAAGATTGTAAATTATGACACATTAATATCAATATATTTTTCAATATACATGCACAAGTACCTCAATGTTCACTCATTAGTAACATCAATGGAGGACTCCATCATAATCAGTCATGCACATACAAGAAGTTAACATAAACATATCATTCATGTATTCATCATTTTCAATTCAGCATGCTATAAAAGCATACACCAAATGCATGAGATCAAGTAGCTACAACATTCATAACAATATGACTGATAATGAACAAATATCTCAATCAGAATAAAACATATGCAAGTGTCATCAACAATCAAATAATTAAGAAGAAACTAAATATTACTATAGATTAAAAATACAAATGTTCACCTCAATGTTGATTAATTCGTGCTGGAATTAGTCTTTTAAATTAGAAAACTAACATAAACATAATATTTAATCAATTTCTTATTTTAATAAACTATTGTTTTTTCATTAATTCAATATTAAATTTATTTTATCTAATCCCTATTAATTTTTTATTCCATATATATATATATATATATAAGATACAAATAGGTTGTATGGGTGGACCTAAAAGTAGGC